AAAGAATTATGTGCATTGGTTAATTTCTTGATGCCAGATTTTGAAATCAGTGCGGAGATAGATATTGAAGCACCCGATGCAGAACAAGAAACTAAGATCCGTGAACTACATAAAAGTCTTGAGCCATATATGCTTAGACGCCTTAAAAAGGATGTCGAAAAATCATTGCCGCAGAAGACCGAAAGGATTTTACGAGTTATCTTATCACCATTACAGATGCACTATTATAAAAATATCCTTACGAAAAATTTTGATGTTTTGAATGAAGGAGTCACTGGTTCTTCTCAAATGAGCCTTTTGAATATTGCAGTCGAATTGAAAAAGGCCAGCAATCATCCATTCTTATTCCCAAATGCCGAACCTCGTACAGTTCGTAATGAAGATCAATTGCGTGGCCTAGTTACCAACAGCGGGAAAATGGTACTTTTGGATAAATTATTAACAAGATTAAGGGAATCAAACCACCGAGTTTTAATTTTCTCTCAAATGGTTCGGATGCTGGACATATTAACAGACTACCTTAAATTGCGAGGTTATCAACACCAAAGGTTGGACGGAAGCGTCCCATCGGAAGCTCGTAAAAAGTCCATAGAACAATTTAACGCCCCGAATTCCCCTGATTTTGTTTTTCTACTATCGACACGTGCTGGTGGTTTAGGTATAAATCTTAATACAGCAGATACTGTCATTATTTTTGATTCCGACTGGAATCCGCAAAATGATCTTCAAGCGATGGCCAGAGCACATCGTATTGGACAAAAGAACCATGTGAACGTCTATCGATTTGTATCAAAAGACACGATTGAAGAAAGCATCCTCGAACGCGCAAAACGTAAAATGGTTCTTGAGTATTGCATCATTAAACAAATGGATACTTCTGGAATGAGTATCTTGCAAAAGAATCCAAAAAATTCAAAGCCATCAGAGAATTTTAGTCGCGAGGAACTGTCTGCAATTCTCAAGTTTGGTGCTCAAAACATGTTCAAAGAAGAAGGTGCCAAAAAACTTGATGATCTCGATTTGGATGATATACTGGCTCGAGCTGAAACTCACGACACGGTTGGGGACCAAACGAGCAGTAGTCTTGGCGGTGAAGAATTTTTGAAACAATTACAAGTCGCTGACTTTGGTGATGGAGATATGAGTTGGGAAGATATCATACCTCAAGAAGAAAGAGAGCGACTAGCAAAGGTTGCCGCGGAACTTGCTCAAGAACAAGAGTACGATAACAATAATAAGACAGGATCGAAGCGCAAGGCAGTTGTTCAAGGTGGGACTAACGTAATCGACTCGGACGATGATGAAGACGAGCCACCAAAGAAAAAAGTTAATCGTAAGAAGAAGCAAACAAGTCGAAAGAAGAAAAAGGTGAATGATGACGATGAAGTTCGTCCTAAGAAGTCCAGATCTAAACGAAAAGTGGTTTCGGATGATGAACTTTCACGTGAAGACAGGGATGATTCTGACTCAGATTCTAATGATGGCCGTATGACGAAAAAATCGCGCTCACGTAGAAGGAAAGGTGATAACACGAATGGGAAAAGATCAAACGGAAGACGTTATAAACATTCTTCATCCGAAAATGAAGACGATCGTACTACTCAAAAGAGATCAAAATTGAATAGGAAGCATAAAGATTCAGAGGAAGACGACGAACCAATAAAAGCATTAAAAAAACAAAAATCCGCAACAAGTTCATCACGTGAAATGTCACAAAAAGATGTACGAGCATTAATAAAAGGTATTATGAAATTTGGTGACATTCATCAACGATATGAAGAAGTTGTTGCAGAGGCTGGCCTACAAGAAAAGGATCAGCAACATCTACTCACAGTCTATGATGAATTATTTACGATATGTAAAAAGGCTGTTGAAGAACACGAGGCTTCAAATGATGCTAACTTTCCCAACCCTCGTGGAAAAGCAATACAAACCACATATCGCGATGTAGATAAAATTAACGCGGGCGCGTTGATTCAGCGCGTTAATGATCTTAAAAGCTTGCATGACAAAATAAAGAGTAAGTGTTTTTATTTATATGACTTTTGAATTCATATCAAACTATTTAATTAAACTTCTTTTAGGTGTTGCAGATCCCGTGAGATTTAGAATCGCGGTTTCCACAAAACCAGTTACCAATTGGTTTTCGGATTGGAGTCAACCTGAAGATGATTCTCTCGTGGCAGGAATATACAAACACGGCTTTGGTAATTGGAAAGCTATTCGCAGTGACCAAGAGTTGGGCCTCGCTGATAAGCTTTCCATCGACGAAGGTGATGCAGCCCAACGGACAGCCTTAACTGCCAAGGTCGTACGAAGGGCCGAATATTTGTTGAAGGTTGTCCGGGAATTGGATGATGAGGAGGAGGAACGGGTAAAAATTAATTTAATTTATATTATTCAATTAATAATAACATGTAATAAATTAAATTGTTATTTTATAATTACTAATAGGGTCGACGACTTCGATTTCGTCCTGGCTCTCGTGGGGATGGTCCTGGCGAAGCAGGTCCATCTGCCCGTGATTCTGCACCCACTAAGGGGAAGAAGGCTGCGAAACACATAAACAACTCAAATGAAGAAGATTCTATCCAGCAACCAACTGATCGAGAATGTAAAGAGCTACTACGTCCAGTCAAGGATAAACTTCAGTGGCTCAAGAAGGTAATGAATAAACATCTTTCCCTTATTTTATTTAATAACCATATTAAATTTTTTTTTTTTTTTGTTTTATAGGAATCGGGTCAATATAGTGGTAAGGAGAAGGCCAGACTTATCAAAGAGTCACTTAAAATTATTGGCGCGAAGATTGGAGATATCCTTGCCACAAAGTCAGCGGCCGAAAAAACTCAATGGCAATTTAATTTGTGGCAGTTCGTTACGTATTTTTGGCCTCGAGAAATTGGGGCAGAAAAATTGATCGATCTGCATCGCAAACTGGAAGCTGCCGAGGCGGGTTTAGGCAATTAAGATCAATATAAATATATATAGGGATAAATAGTTTGGGTAGAAACAAAAAATTTAGCAATTATTAAAGAAGAAAAGGACAATGGAATAATTATAATTGGAGAGTATTAAGAATAATATATATTTTTTTTGAAATGTAATGTAAAAAAAGTAGATAGCAATTAGTAGAGAAATATAAAAATTTATGGTGGAAAATTAATCCACCTTTGTATATTTTATTAATTTTTTTCTTTTTTATTCGGTTTTATACATATAAAACCGAAATTAATTGTAGATACAAGGAAAAAAAATTTTTTTTAGTATATAGTGTATATTTTCTTAGGAAAATAATTATTATTTTGGTTTGGCGGGTGACAAACCAATTAAAAAAAGCATTTATATTAATCAAATTTAAATATAGTTTTTAATGTAATTAGCCACTCAAAAGAAATAAAAAGCAAGCATTTTTTAATAATAGTTTTTATCGAGTTTTTGATATTTACGTCACGACGTATAAAAAGTAATACCTGAACTAATTAAAATTATATATATTTTAATATAATTTGCTATGGATCACCGGCGGTGATTCATTGCCGGCGTCACGTGATTTCTCATAATGAATAATGTAAAATCATATTCGTCACATGTTATTCGTCACATATTAATTTCGGTAACGTTATACAAATCCAAAAAGCAATTTTGATTTGGCAAAAATTCAAAATTCCATTAAAATATTATATATTTTTTTAAACAAAATATTAATCTAAAAGTAAGACTGTATTTTGTATTACTAGAAAACGAGAATTATTGTTAAATCCAGAATGATTTTAACTAAAAAAAATCACACTGGTATTTGTTTTATTTAGATAAACTATTGTATAATTACAAAAGCCAATTAGCATTGATCCAATTATTGAGCGAACAAACATCAAGATACTTTACATAGAAATATATAGTTCTTTTCTTCATTTTGGACTAATAAATTTTCTTTAAATCATTCATATTAATTACAAAAAAAAAATTCAAATTAATTTAAATGATCTAAATTATTAAAATCTTAAAAAATTAAATAATTTGAATTGTAATATTCAAATTAATTTAGATAATTCAGATTAGTTCAAACTATAAAAAAAAACTAATTAATTATTTAATAAAAGTTATATCTATTGATTCTTATATTTTATTTAAAAATTTTTTATTAAATTATTTATTATTAGTAAAATAATTAATTAATAAAAATGAAATTATGTGAATCATGCAGTATAATAATTTTTTAATACTAAATTCTAAAAATATTGTAAATTCTATAAATACTGAGAATACAGAAGATCTATAAAATTCAGCTTATTTTTTGAATACTTATAACAATTCTAATTTTATAGATTGAACAAAGTTTAAAAATATTTGATATAATATAAAGATGGTTTTCATAATTATTTTTAAATTTCAATTGAGTTGTAACTTAATTGCACCATAAGTAAATTTAATTGCATTATAAGTTGCAACTCAATTGCACTATTTTTTTTTAATTGTGGTAATTATCTTTAATATAATATTTATTATTAATATTTACTTTTTATTATTTTTTTTATTTTACTACATATTATTATTATTAAATTATTTAGTTTATAATATAGTAATTAGTTAGCTATAACTAGATGATTTTATATAAATATAAGTTTCAATATTATAATAAAGAAATTAATTAAAACTTATAATTTTCTATTTTTTTTATGTCTTTATATAGTCTAATGTGATTTTTTTTATATGAGATTTATAATTAATTTTATTATTTTAATTTATTAATTAAAGTTATTTGTAATTTTATCTTTTAATTGATAGATTTATTAAATCTAATATATAAATTTAGTAAAATTAAGAGTTAAGCAGATCTTAAAATCTTAATTACAAATAGTAATCTTAAGTAAAGAATTAAAAATGTAATTAAAAAATTTTACAGTAACAATATATTAAATTAAAAATTTATATTTAATAGAAATTATAATTTTTTATATTTTTAATTTTTTATTACAGTAGCAGTTATAAGTATCTGACTGCCTGAGATCGTCCAAAATTATTATATAACTACCCCTTAAATTTTTCAGAAATATAATGTAACACAATACATAATCACCTGTAAATTTATAAGTGTTAATGATATAAAAAAAAATTTAAATGATCATCAAACTTTTGCTTGAAAAATGGAACTTTTTTTAGAGAAACGATATGAAATTATCTTTTTACGTGTACCCAGCTAGTTCAAAGTTTAGTTTTGAATTTATTGCTAAACAAGTACGTTATAGTAAATCTACAGCTATTTATTGGGTTAAAAGATATTATGAAAATCGGGACTTAAGTACTTCAAAAAGACTGGGTGGCCTTATGTAATATTTGTGAAATAAGATGACAAGATTGTAAAGATGGCAGAGAAAGAACATAATATAACAGCCATTCAAATACAAGAAAAAAT